TGGCATGACTTTGAGTTGTACTTAAAGTCCGAAGTATAGAGGGTGAAGAGGAACGGAGAAAGAACTGTCCCTTGAGATCATCATAAAATTTACTTCTGCTTATATCTCTTAACTAAGTGAAAAATGTCTACACCCGCATTTAAGTTTATTGTTTTTTTGTTTGGTTTTGCTCTGTCTCTAGTAACCATCCATTGTTATTAACAATTATTACACAAAAACATTTACCATGCTTCTAAATTAATACTTTTTCAATAATACTGTTTTAAAATGTCTCATACACTTCTACATTTAATACATTTAGGCTATTTTTCCTATTATCAGAAATTTAGTCAACATGTCTCATAAAATGAACATTTTGCTTGATACAGAATAGTACTTTCCTTATAGTCAAATCTGTAGATTTTGTATACAATATATCCACAAATATAAGCAATTTGTTTGAGGTCTTAAGGAGCAGAAATGAAACAAATACGTTTTTAGATCTAAAATTAGAGGAATAACACTTTGTTGTAAAAAGTATCTTCACGATTGCTATATGATTTATACAATTCTGTTACAATTATTTGTTTTCAAATAATTCTTCACCTCCCCTGAACTCCCGCAGCAGATTAATAGTATGCTCTGGATAAAACATTTGTAAACCCTGCTGAATAATGTTTGTCCTCTGTGCCAGTTGAGCAATGCATGCTGTGTCCCGTTCCTCATTAAAGAGTTTTATATATTTCCCCAGCTGCTGCTTCAATTTGTCCGAACCTGTTTTTGTCTGTATATATGGAGAGCTCCAAAAGGATTAAAGGATTGTTGTACACCAGTATTTTATCATGTTTTTTCAGACTCGCCAATCAGAGGAATGATGATGATGAGGAAGAGGCAGCCCGGGAACGCCGACGAAGGGCCCGTCAGGAGCGCTTTCGCAACAAGGACGATGAGGAATCAGCCAGTCTGATGACAGACAAGTTGGAGCTCAATAACCGCAACAGGTAACTAAGGATTTTACTATTATGTAAATTCTGAATTATGTATTATGAATCTTGATATTGAGATCTTTAAAATCCTTTGGATATTTTAGGAGTTGGCATTTCATTTCTTGTCCTCATAGTGAGGGATCAGTCCAATAAAAAAAAAAGTTTAATAAAAGTCGATTCCGGTTTCCAGATAAAAGGTACTTCTTCAAATAGGAATTTGTGCACTGATAAACTGATAATGTCTCCTTTTTAATTTGATTTAAAAAATAAATAACATGTATGCACTAAGGAGGATTCATCCTTAGTTGCTGGACAGTCTTCCCATAGAATCTCTGGTTTAGGCTGACTGGTTGCATGAATGGATATTTTGGTTTGTTAAGTTGTTATATTCAAAAGTAAATTATTCTTGATGTTGCACACTTGTACAGTATGCATCTCTACTGCAAAAAATACATAAAATGGATGTTATCAAGCTCCATATTTGTAAAACCTTATTTTATTGTAGCTTTGTCTCCTTGCAAAAATATAAAATCATTACCTCAAAGGGAGGCACCTCAAAGGCCTCTGGCAACTTTTGAATATCAGTTGAGGAACAATGTCTCAGTATGTATGGTGTGGTTTTAGGGATTGGGCGTGTGGGTAGTGCAACCCTAACAGTTTACCATGATGTGCCAAAATTACTGTGAGATAGATCTGCAAGTTTGATACCACTTTTTTTCCTTCCTCCCATTCTTGAATGAGGTAGAGATCAGATACAGTGAAAGGTGACAACTTGGTTACTTTGCAGTGAGTCCACTGAGGACTCTAAAGCACAAATTTAGAGGCAAACTCACAATATTAATAACTCTGGGTTGGGATGCCAGAGCAGGTCTGCTGAAATAGGAACCTTTATAGAGATGCACTTGCAGAGGTAATCACAGTCTCTGGCAAATGACAGATGAGTCCCTTCAACCCAGCTCTTGTGCAGAAAGTTGTAAAATGTCTCTAACGTAAAAAGTATAAAGCAAACACATGTGGTGTTTGACCTCAGGAAGAGAAATAACAGATATGCTTTGGAGATGATTGCCATTGGGTACCTGAGTGGTGTATTGGTCTTCAATACGAAAGGCCAGGTGATGGATTCTGGCTTCACTGAGTGACTGGACATGACAGAAAAGGAGAGAATTGAGAGAATAGTTGTTCTGAATTGTTCTGAAAATAGCCAGAAACACATTCCAGGACAAGAGTCATAAGAAGCCAACTGCCCATGTGAGCCCTATGTTCTCCCCAGGGAGACCATGATCTATAATGCAGAAACCTCTTGGAAAGAAAAATGTTCTAGAGACATGGAGATACGAACCACTAAGAGGATTCCAATGCAGCCATCTAGGTAGGCGATCAAGGGAAACAACCCAGTAGCTGAAACTAACCTCTCACTCCAAGACAGAGATCCAGGTGAAGTAGGTGACTTGTCCTCAAAGCTGAAAGGGTTCAATTTTCAAGGAGACAGAGGAAGATCCTAGTAACACTCATGAGTGCACAGGTCTATAGAGGATGATGAGATAAGGTTGGTGATAGGACAGCAACTAATTGGACAACTTTTCTTTTCAACAAGCCAACTGCACTGAGTTTGTCAATGACTTTGAAGATTTTGAATACTTGTATCTGGTTCCCTTGTAGTCTTCTCTGTTCAAGACTAAAAAGGTTCAGTTCCTTCACTCTGACAGTGTAGGGCATTTGTTTAAGACCCAGAATATACCCAATTGTTCTTCTCTTTCTTGTAATGTGGTGAACAAAATTGTACACAATAATTTATATGAGGCCTTAATAGTACATGGTGCGTTTTTAACATCCTTTTATTTCAGCTCCACATTATATATCCTAACATTTTGTTTTGTGTTTTTGTTTTTTGTTTGCTGTATTCTTTGTTATCCCTAAATTGTCTAGAAGGAGTTAATGATGTCAACATAAACAGCCACTTCTAACTCAGTGTTTCCCATTTCTTAATTATAGTTTATTTTATCAGTACCTGTATGCAAAACCCTAAACTTGTCTATATAAAACATCATCTGCCCAGTGTTTTTTCTAAATCCATTACCATGTAACAGAAAAATGAGAATGGTATTCTGCCTTATAAAATACAGAAGAAAATAAAGATGCTATAGACTTAATGGAGTAGAATGAAGCCTAACAAAAGGCAGTCCTTCTGTTTAGCAAGTTTCTCACTGTTAAGACCAAAGCCTCCAGGCAAAGCTTAGACAAAACAGTGAAAAGATAAGGTCTTGGAGCTCCTTCTTCAATAATGCATGTTTGTAACTGATCTCAGAGAGAATATCATTTGGTGTGATCGAGTCCCTTATGAGCTGAAGTATCAGTCCTCCTCCCTTCCTGTTTTTTTACAAATGTTACAAAACATTTAATCAAACATGCAGTTCCTCCCAGATACAGTAATTAATAGATCACTGCTCTGTCCTACTCATGCTAGGATATTTAAATGGCAAGCTTTAAAAATACCCTCTGCTTTTGTAGCATTTTTCTGGGAAAGTTTTCATTGTGAGAAAATAAAACCACAAAGTTATCTTGTTGTATAAAATGAAAAAAAAAAATATTTAGATTTTTTTAAAATAATAAGACTTTCTTAATATATGCCTTATTTGTTCTTTTTAGTCGTGTCTACTTAAATGGTGACTAAGAATGAGTAAAATATTTTGTTGTTACCTCATATGTTAATGATATTGCTAAATGGACAAAGATTTAGCTAATACCAATTAAATATCTTGATGTGAGTGCACAGTAATATACAGAGATGTTTAAAGGAAAAGTTATTTTCATTTTATTGAATTATAAATGTTATACTACATAAACACTAGTCAAAGTCCATCTTGCAGCCATGATAAGTAAGATACATATTTTGGCCAATGCATCATCTCTCATCTGATTTTGTTAGTGTTTCTGTAATTTCAAAATGTACTGTAGCAACTAATGTCAAAAGCCCAGGCACATTCTCTATTAATTTTTTTTTGTTTCTGAGGATTTCCAGTAAAGCACAAGAAGTGTAATGCATTTATTCATTATGATCATTTTCACTGTTAACTAAAAATTCTAACTATAAACTCCTTAAAAAATGTAAATAGGATTCAGTGATATCATACTGCAGTTCAACTCAGTGCCCACATCCAAATGTATTTGAGGTATGTCATTATTGAATAGAATATAGAAATGCAGCAGTCTTCTTAACACCCTCAGAGAACATTTTACTGCCTGTTCAAATCATTCAAAAAAATGTCAATGAGCTTTTGTTCTCTTCAAACTAACTTATGTGTAGGCCAAGACAGAAAGAATCATGACCTTTTGTTATGGAGCTGTAGTAGAGCACGTCTAACAAAATATTACCAGTATCATATTACCCACAATCTTTATATGTATGCATTTAAATATTAATTTTGTTGAAGTTGCTGTAGAACACTAAAAAGTGTCTTGGGGTGAAATGGACATAAAATATTATCATATACCCTGATATTCAGTGTATTGGGTGATAATTAGCAATTAATTAGACATTCGGTAGGTCTTTGATCTTGGAGATTTGTGGATCCAGTTTAGAAATTGCTAAAAACAATGCAGAAAAGAAGCTGCATGAAGTAAAAACATTCCATAGTGACAGTACCCACTTGACCCCAGTGGACCCCAGGAACTTACTCACCACAGCAAGTCTTGTATGGTTTGTTGCCTGCTTGGTGCCCAGTTTTCAGACCTACCTGAGGAGCAGGATCCTGAGGTGGCCTTTAAAGGTGGCTTCTCAAAGCTCTTTACAGAATGACAGCAACAACAAAAAAAATATACCACATATGCACAATGAGAATACACAATGAGAGGAGACAGTAGATGGGGGTACTGAATACAGTAGGAGCAGAGAGGTAAAGAACAGAACCAGTTAAGTAAAGACTCTTCTAAAGAAGAAGGTTTTGAGTCTGGATTTGAAGTTTAGGGAAGGTGACTATCTGATATCCTTGGAGTAGAGTTCCAGAGCTTTGGGACATAACAGGAGAAGGCCCAATCACCCGCAGAGTTTAGAGGGGCTTGGAGGACAGACAGGAGACCAGAATTAGAAGAGTGAAGGTTGCGAGGTGGGGAGTAGGACGATAGTAGCTCGATTAAATGACATTGAATTAAATGACTGAATTAAGTGACATTGTGATGAAAGAAGTCTGAGGGTTCTACAAGACAAATATAAGGATGTATCTGGTAAACACAGGAGCAGAATGTCTATGTTGGTATTCTCTTTGTTACTACTATAATTTCCAAGCCTAGGGAAGCAAGAAAAAATATGGACTTTTAACTTGTCGATAAAAGCTTGGTAAAGAAAAGATGTTAGGTAAGCGTAGCTTTGGGGGTCCTTCTGAAACAAATGAGAAATGTAGACGCAGGATGGTTTACACTTAAACCAGAGAGGTGCTGATATTTTGGGAAGTGCATACCTTAACCAGTTGAGAAATATTTAAACTATATTGAGGAACATTTGAACTCGGAGGAAGGGTGCTCCCAACCACTAGTCTATTTCTAGTGGCATCAGAAAAGCCTATGGCATCACTACTTAAACTTCAGACATTATATTAAACATAACCCATGCATTCTTTAATTAATTCCTGTACTATACAATTCTAGAAGCCAAGGGAATAAAAATAAAAGGATGTGGAAATACTGCTTTAACAGATAACATATACTAAAAACAGAAACATGTGTTGAGAACGATAATGGACACTAAAATTAATGGGTATACTTTTGGAAGGATGGAAGGAATGATGCAGTGGAACTACAATATATATCAAAATAAATTTCAAGCTAGTGAACTGAGAAAATGGTCCAAGCAGTTTATATTCATATAATTTATATGAATTGTGATGTTACTGTATATTATTAGGCTTTTGTTATGGAGAAATTGGACACATAAATTGGCCTATTGTAATGAAGAATACAGAAGATGGTATTTATACTGTATGGTTAAAAGGTTTCTTAAAAGGTCCTACAGATCTATAGACACAGCTGAAGAAAGAATTTAAAGAGTGAGACACAAACAAATACTGCATTCGAAGCAAAAAAAAACGATTTTTTTTCTAGTGCTACAACAACAAAAGAACTTTGAAACCAGAAGTAAATACAGTAGTTGAGTGTCACAGAGGCATGGTGGGTAGCACTGAGGCCACACTGCTCTTGTGTTGAGGGTTCAAATCAACACATTAATAGCATATTCCATTTTACAGAGGAACCGTATCAGTATTGGGTAATTGTAACACAACTAACTCTGAGTTACTACAGGGAATTAGGTTGGCTTAAAACTAATAAACTGAGATGTTGTTCAAAGAGCACTACAGTAGTTACTATATTTCAACTCTATCTTAAGAAGCTGCAAAAATAACAGCAAAAAAAAAGAGTGACAAAAATAAACCAGCGAATAATCAATGAATCCTACTCCTGTTACTGGTCAGTTATAAAAGTGATGGAACTAAACTAAAACATTACTTACAAAACAATGGAATTTTAGAGACAGTCAACATGGATTTAAAAAGGGAATATCTTTAACTCATATGTAAGGTATAGTTCATTTAATATAGTTCTTCTCTTCTTATCAGCTCTGCACCTGTGTCAGCTCAGGCCAGGAGTCTTGATGCCATCTTTTATCTGAGTTTTGCATTTGGAGATCAAGTTTCAAGTGTTGTGAAGGTGTCTTTTTCCCTCAATGTAACATTACTTATATCAGTTCAAACTGTATTTCACCAATTCTGATACAACAATGAAACATAATTTAATTGTTTTTCCAGTAGTGATTATTGGAAAGCTCTGCTGGATAGTATGTCCAAATAAGGTCTTGAAAAGGTGCAATATATTGAGAGCTGCTGCGAACTAAAGTACATGAGCATACCTGTTTTAGCATCCTTGCATGGGCAGCCTGTGGATTTCAGAATGTAATTCAAAACGTGCTACTCACTTTTAAGAGCCCATTTGGCTCTTGACTACATCTGTGAATTATTATCTCTATATACATGTAGTTTGTGTTTTCTGGACTCTGGCCTTCTATCTATTCCCAAACCTCCAAAACTGAAACCATGGGAGACTGTGCTTTCTGTTCTGTTTCTGTGAGGCTCAAGAAAAATATTCCAGCCTATATTAGAATTTGCAAGTCAGTGAGCACTTTTAAATATCATTTTTTAAAAGTCTAAAACTTTCAGAATCAAGTCTGTAAAGCAGTTCACTGTATTAAAATGTGCATTGGTCTGTTTCTACCGTTTTGTCTTTATTTTTCAGTGAAATTTCATGAAAACTTTGTTTGTTTATGTGATGATACTAAAACCTATAACATGATATATTTACTGTAGATTCGGATAGTTTTTGGTAAAGTCCCTCACAAACCTTGAAAAATTTGAACACTAATAAGCTGTTAAACTGGTAATATGGTAATATAACGTATGCATGGAACAAAAACTGCTTAATGAAACAAAGTGACGTTTAAGGGGTATAACCTCTAATTTGGAGGTTGTAAGCACTCATATCAAAAGTATCCACTTTAGAACCATTGTAAAAATGGGGTACTTACACACAGTACCTGCAGCAGGACTAAGATCTGGAATAGGAAATTATAATCTAGAATTACAAACAGATATAGATGAAATAAATTAGGCAGACATTGATTTAACATTGATAACATTCAAAACCAACCACACAGGAAATATGTACATGCACTACACAACACAATAAGTGATCCAGAGCTGCTGGAAGCCAAACATGAAAAAGATTTGGGTTTTTCAGGTTTCATAATGCTATGCTCTCATCAAGACAATGTGGGGAAACAATGAAAAAGGTGAATAGAATACTTAAGTATGCAACCAATCCTGGATTGTAATATACTATATGTACAGGTTAACGAAGGTAAATCTCTTCAGTTTAGAAAACAAACCATGTTCAATCCTTGGGAGTATAAACAAGGTCAACCCACGGCACTATTTCAAGTAAAGAAACAAGCATAGAGGATAACTATCGGAAAGTGAAAGGGGATTCGTTTAGGATAGAGAACTTATTTACACAAAGGGCTGTGAGTATCTGGAACAGGCTTACCAGACACATGATCAAAGCCAATGCTCTGGGCTCCTTTAAGAAATAACTTGATGAATGTTTAGATCAACCTTTCAACTAAGCTTCTAATTTTCCATATAATTTTCCATATATGTCTTAGCATGATGTGAAGAGACTGTACCAGGTTATCACCTGAAGAAAATGAGTATTTTTATATTTTTATATGCATTGCATATAAAATTTTTTATAAGTGCTTGAATCATTCACAGATCCCTCCATGCACTTGGCAGGGCACACCTGGACTGGGTGCCAGTACATCGCAGGGCAGATACACAGACCCACACACTCACATCTAGGGCCAATTCTCCCAGAAACTCATTAACCTACCAGTATGTTTTTGGACTGTGTGAGGAAACAAGAACACCTGGAGGAAACCCACGAGATCACAGGGAGAACATACAAACTCCATGCAGATGGCGCCTCAGAGCCCCAGCTCTGCAAGCAGAAATACTCGCCACTATGCCATTGTGCCAATTCACATAAAAAATAGAAATATCTTAAATAAGCTTTTTAAAAGACATTTTATTTAAAAGCATTTCAGGAGCTGTTTGTTAATATAAAACAATTATTATGAAATGTATAAACTTTCATAATAATTTATGAAATGCAGAAGTAAAATACACTTTGGCAGACTGGCAAGTTGCAGGAGACAGCCTTTATGTAAAATTAATGACCCATGCTCATTGCACAACCTGTAAAATGTATGTCACACTCATTAGGTAATCACACCATTAACATTCCTCCCTAACCTGTCTACCATGATCTATGCATCCAATCCTGTGTGATTTCTGACCGTAGAGCTGCTTCACGTCATTTCAGTATCAAATAAACCTACTTATGCATCAAAACAGCTACCACAGTATACAGTGTCTCAAAATTCAGTCTTAAATAATGTTGCCCTCATGCAGCTATATATCATGTCCTGTCTTGCAAGCCAGCCATCACAATCAGAATTAGTCATCGTATAGAGTTGTGTAGTGGTGCTCTCTAATGTGTTACTGCTCGTGGAAACATGTTCATCCTCAGCTTAATTTGTAGTTCCATTGCTTCTTCTTGCAGTTTTCACAATACACATACAGTATATGAATAGGCCAATTCAGCAAAACCTATACATGAACCTTATCATCTCTCTGGAAAATAAAGTTCAAACTCAGAAAGGGGGAAAGTGTAGTAATGTATTGTATATTCCATAGCATTTGAAAGGGTGATGAATTTTATACACATCTAAACAACAATACACAAAATACTGTGTGTAAACATTTTGCATAAAGTGTGAACTTCATGTTTCTGTGCTTTCTTTTTCTGAATTATTTCAGCATGCCGGATGAAGAGACAAAGGGTACCCCTGTGGCCGGATCTGCGGCCACAGATGAGGAGCAGGCTCTTTTGGATCGTCTGGCCAAGCGTGAGGAGCGCCGTCAGAGGAGGCTGCAGGAAGCCTTGGAGCGGCAGAAGGAGCTGGACCCTACCATCTCCATCCTCGAGCACAGCCAGAACAACCAAGAGGAGAAGACTGAGGTGTGCAGCCTGTACCAGGAGAATGAGGAGAAGGAGCGAGCCAGTGAACAGGTGGAAGAGAGGAAATCTCCCGAGTCCAATGCCTGGGCTCAAGACAAAGAGGAAGAGAAGGAGGAAGAAGAAAACCAGGAATCTGAGGAACCAGTACAGGTGGAGGCTGAGCCTGAGGAGCCCCAAGAGGAGGTGGTGGAGGAGAAACCAAGGAGATCTTATCTGAAGGAGCAGGTCTGTGTTTCCATATTTTTTTTAAAGTTCCTGTAGAGCCCTGACTTGATATTTTTGTTGCATTTTCATAACTGATATGGACGGGTATTTGGGGAGTTTATTAGTGCTTTGGATCCATGATGCAGGTACTTGAGTCTGTGCACTTCCGCTATATCGTGTGTAAGGTATGTCACCCTTTTTTGGAACTAAAAGTGGGTACCAGTATTTGCTGACTTGCAAATGATAAATGTTCCGTGTTTTTTTGTACTTTGTTGAATGCTACAGAAACTGACATGAAGCCAAGCCCTATGCGCACTTTAGGGTTGTAAACCTCAAATCCTCATACAATATGCTCATAAAATATCACATAAATCAAATACTTCACCATACTTCTCAGCCACTGCTTCTTAGCACTATTTCCAGGATTGTTTACTGTGGAAACACTCACCTTGAGCCTCACAATTTTTTACCGAATGGTGTTGTAGTTAATTATTGATTTTATGTTATTTTTATTTCTTTTTCAGGAATCCACAGAGGACAAACCTAAGAAATCATATATGAGAGAAGAGGTATATTAGTACCTTCAGAGATATTTTTTATGTATCTGAAATTGAGTGACTAATTTGGCTATTGTGCCAAAAAGTATTATTGCTATTGGGCCACGTGTGCTGAGCTTTACATAAAAAATACATTATTTTTATACAGGAAAGTGAAACTATTTTTATTACATTTTATTAAAAAATCAACAAATACAGAACAGAAATTGTTCCTGTATATCTTAACTTAAATAGAGTATTAAAGACTGTAGCAAAATTCATGCTGCTCATTAAGAATGATGTGAAACATTAAAGACCCCAAAATTGTAACTGTGAAACAATAAAGACCTCAGTTTGTGGAAGAGACTGAAAACTGAGATGATAAAGCAATCACAAAACTAGTGTTAACCTGAAACAGAGTGAAGAAAATGCAGTTTGCATGTGTTAATACTTGAACAGATCCTGCTTTAAACTAACATTTAGTGTAACAGGCAAATGTTAAAATAGTAACATAAATTCAGTATTTCTTAAACAGATTACACTCACATGCTCTCACTATCGGATTACAAACACCTCATTTTTGGTAATAAATTAAACCTTTAAGGTATACTATATTATTTTCACCAGCTGTATGACATTAAACTTATGGGGTTATTTTTAAAGAAATGAAGGTATTTCAGTGAAATCTTAAGTATAATTTAGATGTACATTAAGTTCATGAAGTTTAAAGCTATAGTTGAAAAATATCATCCATTCTCCATCTGGTTTCTAACTGTTTTACTCAATTCGGGGCCACGAGGAAGCCAAAGTCTAACCTGGGCAGCAACAGGTGCCAGTCCATCACAAGGCACAGACAGACACAACCACACTCCTCAAAACAGAGCCTATTTTCCCCGAAGCCAATTACCCTACTCATGGCCTTAGATTTATGGAGCACCTGGAAGAAACCCACACAGACACAGAGAGAACATACAAACTCCACATACCATAGATATTACACCTACAGTAGGTCTGGAATTGAACCTAGGGCCCCAGTGCTGTGATGTAGCAGTGCTCACCACTGTGCTACCTAGACACCCACAAAATATCATCCGTGGTATAAATATAGTGTACCAATCAGTATTTCCTGAGCTTTTTTAAGGTGTTGATGCCTTTCTGCTGCTTTGTCATGTGAGGGGTCTTTTTGTGGTTTGCACCGCCACAACTGCTCAGCTTTGCTTGTCTTTATTCAAGCTTGAAAGGCATGAGCCTCTACTTCACATGACATGTTAATGTTATTCTGATAATTGTTATTGTGTTTTGGATAATTATTGATTTTACTGTATGTTTTATTTTTTGTTAATTTAGGAGGAGACAGAGGAAAAACCTGAAAGGTCCTTTATGAAAGAAGAGGTAAGACTTAGTCTCATGCTTTCTAAGTATCATGTGTTGTTCTCTGACATGGTGAAAAAGGACATTGGTTTCCTTCCCTGGTCCTGAAAGACCCCTGTGTCTTCTGGGTTTGTTCCAGTCCAGTTCTTAGTCACTGAGGCTAATTATTTTTTTTATAGGTATATTTTGAATTTTAGAACTGTTTTCATTCTGCAAAAGGCAATGAAGCTCATGGAGGAGTGTTATACTGTAATTTCTACCTGTGTCTGGTTATAAATTGCCAACTTATTAATTATTGTTCAAAAAGAAATAATAACTCTTAATAACCTAATAAAAAAAGTTGGGAAAAGACTGCTTATAGGTGAAGGTATTGGAAATAAAAGTAGAGCAAGCATTTTCTTTGAAAGTATTATTATTATATTTACAGGAGGTGATAGAGGAAAAACCTAAAAGATCTTATACAAGGGAAGAGGTAAGATAAAATAGTCGATATTAAAATAATTTGTATTTTATTATTTATTAATGTATTAATTTATTTGCATAGCTATTAATAAATTAGTAATGTGTTAAATTATTCATTTATTGTTTATTATTTTTCTTTGAAATAATTATTATTCTATTTACAGGAGGTAATAGAGGAAAAACCTAAAAGATCTTATACAAGGGAAGAGGTAAGATTGTTATTATGTTATTATGTTATTTTCAAGTTTTTTTTAACCAATGTGTTGTTTTTTTGCAATCACAGTGATGGTATGTCCCTTTGGAGTTTGATTTCAATAAATATGACAATGTTTTTTGCAGGAGGTAATAGAGAAACCTACGAGATCCCATACAAGGGAAGAGGTAAGATCGTAAGCTGATACTTGTCCAGTAAAGAAAAGGCAACATTACTATGTGAAGAATCAATAGATTAGAGTTTTAGTCAATTTACTGAACTTTGTAGCAGGAGTTTCGAATGGATATTTAAATAAAACTGAAGATTATTATAAATGTATTGTCAGTAGTAGGGAGGAAGACTGAAAAAGTTCATTAGCAAACCCTTAGTCTTCAACATTAAAAATCTTTAAATTTGAATACCATGAAATGTACAAATATATAGACAGATATATAGAAAGAAATGCTCAGTCAATGCATGTCAAAGGCTACCTGGCAGGAGGGTTATCAGATTGTCCATCTTGAGCAGACGAATGTGCTGGTTTAATTAACATCACACTCATTAAATGGCATTGGTTTCCTTGTGCAAATAGTGTCTTGGCAGTTATCAGTTTCCCATAGATGCCACTTTGTCCTCTATGATAGAGGACACAGGGGATAAGTACATATTTTTGCTTAGGATATTTATTTCCTTTGTAGTTTCATTACACCATACTACAATTGATAACTTTACATTGCCAGGTTTGACTTAATAATAAAATCACATGTTTTTGAATAAATGTGCAAAATAAATATATACACTGAGTATTTCAGAGGTCATCAATATCCTGGAATTAAATTGCACAGTGTCAATGGAACATGGAAATGTTTTTCTCAGGCAAAATGATGATGAATATGACTACACTGAGCATACTCTTCTTCCAATAATTGTAACAGAAGAAATGGCACCTTTTAGCTTGATCTTTTCAGATCTGAAATTCAAGGCAGGGCCTGCTAAGTACCAGGATGGGAAACCTCCACGCAACACTACATTTTTACCATGAGTTGGAGGACCTGTAGGTGGACGAGAAGTATGATGACTGGGGACACAGTTTTGTAGGAGATGCCATTTTGGGCCTGACAGGTTAAACCTGTCAAAAGACTACTCAATGTTTAAAGCTTCCATGGACATATTTTGCTAACGTTTTGTTGTTAACCCTGATGTCCTGGCTAAATTCTACTTTGTGCTTGTACTATTGGGTCTTCTTAAAGTTTCATCTTAATTCATATTGGTGAAGCAGTTTTTCAGGTCACTATGCAATCTCCTGCATAGTGGGTTTGCGGGTGCACTTCAGTGGAAAATGCTCTGGAATCCAAAAGAGATATCTACAGTAAATGCACGGAAATGTCATTAGTGCATGGACCTATTAACCTGTTCATACTGTAACTTCTTGCAGGTAATAGAGGAAAAACCTAAGAGATCCTTTACAAGAGAACGGGTAATATATTTTATTTCAAATTAAATTTAATTTAGTTTCCTTTAAATTCTTACTAGTCTTAAATTCTATGTGTAATATAGAAATCAATTTAATTTCTCTGTTAAAAATGATATTGCATTTATATTTTATATTAGAGGATAAATTGTCTCATTGGTCCAAAGATACTGTTTTGCATAAGAACAAAAGTTTGCTTATTTTGAATAACATTGAAACACCCTTCTTATTAATATTATTTATGTGATTATTATTACAGGAAGTGACAGAGGAGAAGACTAAAAAGTCCTTTGTGAAAGAGGAGGTAAAGTATTTTCCTAATTTTCTGATTGATTGACTATCTAATGCATTAAGGGCTCTTATGTCTTGACAAGCTTATTTCCAATATATTTTAAACAATTAAAGAAATCAAAAGTAATCATCATATGATGGCCAACAATAGGTTAATAAAAAGTCATAAATTAGATTGTTTCAGTGCATTAGCTTTCATTGCTAGTTATTTACTGTCTTCTAAATTCATAATGTACAAGTAAGCAAGCAAATAAGCAAAATATCACGTTTAAGGATTGTCTTTAAAATGGAAAATGAAAAATGAACTTCTGTTAGAATACTGCCAAATGTTACTCATTTCTTCTACTTGTGTTTATACAGGCAGATGATTTAGATGTTAACAGTATTATATGATTTAGATCCCACCTTTAATCCAAATGATTTAGCAGGGAAAACAGTTGAAATTTAGCTCAAGATTACACAGAAAAAGACAAAGGAATGTATGTTAGATGCCATATAGTGAGTATCATACAGCAGTTAAAAGAATTAAAACATAGGTTAACACCATCTTTATTTTGTGACAGGAGAACATTTTCACTGCAATCACAAGTTCAACGCAATCTAATCCTCTAGAAAAGTAGCCTACTTAAATAGTACAATGAACTCCAAAGGAGAAAAACATCCTATAATTAATTATGTTATTAATTTATTTATTTTTAAATTAGTTTTTTTGCCTTTCTCATTTTATAAATTCTCAGTTCCTTAAAAACATATTCCTTAATGTGATGCAACACTTCCCATTGGTACTTTTTATTTATCAGTAATATCAGTATCCTAACAATTACAATGATAATGAATTGATACAGTACATGCCTGTGGGATAAAGGGTACAGGTCAAAGTTATGCTGCCACTGTTGGGCTATGCAATGAATGTCAGAATATATCCCAAATCAGATGTAATTTGATTTATTAGTGTCTGTTTTTTCCTGCAGATTGCCATAGAAGACAAACCAAGAAGGCCATACATGCGAGAAGAGGTATAGTTATGTTATTATGCTTCACAATTATTAGGTCTTATAATAATACCACATGATTTTTTATTATTCTACTGTTTTAGATTATTCACAAAATTAAATCAAATACTATCATTCTGTGTCTTTTTAGTACACTGTTATGCGTGGTTTGATTGTGCTAATATTTACATTTTTTGTTTGATTTATAAACAGTTGATGCAGTCATTCGGTCTCTAACCTGTCTTGTTCACTCTCTAATTTTTCCACACAGGTGAATGAAAAGAAGGTAACCCAGAAGGTGGAAGTCACCCATCGCCATAAGGAAGACGTTCCAGAGCCAAAGCAACAAAATGGAGAAAATATCCGTGAAGAAACCCCTGCCAAACATAAGAAACCAGAGAGAACTCTGAGGTAGAGAAGACCCCCTTGAATATGCAACTTGTAGCTCAGGCAGAAATGTATAAAAAAAAATTAAAGGAGTGTTTAGAATTTTGTTGCTGTGGTAAAAGCTTTAAGCCTATAATCCTGAACTTATAACAGTTCAATTAAATATTGTGGATATACCATATAATATTAATCTGAATTACCTTTATTACCTGTTTATTTAGTTTAAACTTGTAGCTTTAATTTAAGCCATGAACCAGGCTTTTACTGTATAGACTTCCAGAGATATTACAAATGTTTGAGGGGACATCATACCAGGTGGGAATTGACTCTTTTTCCAGTGGCAACAAAGTGTTAAAACCTCATTAAAGTGACCACACACAGACAGTCAATACCTATTAGCCTGAGTGTTGTAAACTGAGTTATCACATTTTAACAGCTCAATGTTTAATATGTTTTTTTATATAATTCCTCCATGCCAAGCACATTCTTATTTGGGTTTCTTAAGGACAGATATGTTTCATCATATTAATTAGTTACAGAGTGCCTTTGGGTATAGTGGCCTGTTATTTATCTCTGAACCTTGTTTTTTGGTTTGATGTTAGCTTAGCTCATTCAATCTTAATGCCTAAAGAGCAGGCTTCTAGGATAACTACTATACTTAGATTGTTACTTGATAGTTAGAGCTGCTGACTAGCTACTGTACCTGGCTGACACGCTTTGTGGTATGCTGTGTGGCCTCTCCCAGCCGTGGCAGTGTGCGGCAGAGCCAGGACACCGAGGAGCAGGATGCGGCCTCTCGCTTGGAGGCTGAGCGCAAGTTGGAGTTGCTGAAGCGCCGGCGTGACGAAACTGAGAGCGAGGAATTTGAGAAGCTGAAGCAGAAGCAGCATGAGGCCGAGGCAGAGCTGGAGGAGCTGAAGAAGAAGAGGGAAGAGAGGAAGAAAATTCTGGAGGAGGAGGAGCAGCGGAAGAAGCAGGAGGTAGCCGAAAAGAAAGCCAGAGAAGAGGTAGGATGTGCAGGGCACGGAGAAATTAAGATTAACCAATGAAAATAAGAACTTTGACAGAACATCAGTTCGTATTGCAAAATAGTTGCAAAGTCAATAGATTTAGAACCTCTCAATGTAACAGGGCTAATTTAGTACTATGCCTGTTAAAGAAGGTAATGTCAGCTCCTTGGCATCTGGATAGTGTTATGCTCTTTCAAGGCAGGAGGCCTGGCCTATTGGTGTAGTGGAATTCTCTGATGTCTGGGGGAGTGATGTCATGTGGTTTTGAATATGGAGCAGAATGTGAGCATTTGTGGTCAAATCCTAGCAAGGATCAGAGGCACACTCATAACAAAGGGTATAATTTCAAAGCATATCCAAGTTTGTTTACACATTTGAAATTGTCATACAAAATGTACAGATATGACTTGATATAAAGAACTGTCATGTCAACTTGTTTTGACTTTTTTAAATGCTGGTTCTGAATCCGTAGAGTTTACACTTAATTGGACCAGCCTTGTAACTGCAGCTTAAACATTGCTTTTTTATCAAGAGAAATTATGTGAAAAATACATTTGGTGCATGCTCTACCTCATGAAATACTGTAGTTCCACTAATAGAGTACTGTCATTATTGCTATTGCATTTTTACTCTTTTCTAATGTAAACACCAACCAAAATTAAGCAGTAGTGTGTTTTGGTAAAGAATAGGGACGAAGAGACCGTTTCATTTCATGAATCCCAACCAACACTTAGTGTCTTGTTGTCTTTCTTTAATATTTCTTCTCCTTACACATAACATGATTTTTATAAAAATCAAAAAGGCTATTTCAGATTTCAGAATGGTCAATGGATGAAATATTTACTTTTATTCCTTCTCTACCATTAATTTGTATTTAGCAAGCTTTCACCTAGATCTGAATTGTGAAGCATGCACCAGTTGGCCTATTCTGTGGGTGGTCCAAGATGGCTGTAGACTTGGGAAGTGAGTCAGAACAGGAATCATGGATGGGAAATCCTGACCTGAAGGTCCAGTATATTTAAAAGTTTTCTGGGACTCTTCAAAGCTTCAGAACCTGAAGCACTGGAAAAGGCTGTCCATTTGGTACCATTTAATCAATAATAAGCTCATTTGAGTCATTAAGAGCTGATTTGGAACCAATGCAGACATGTTTGCCCATGTCTTGAGTTTCCATCCCTGAGCTAGGAGAATCAAGCAGAAATGATAAGAGCTCTCTCCTGGTTTTGATTCCAGGAGGAGAAGAGGAGGATGAAAGAAGAAATTGAAAGGAGACGAGCAGAGGCTGCAGAAAAGCGGCAGAAAATTTCAGATGAGGTTCCTGAAGGGGAAGGAAAGAAGCCATTTAAATGTGTCAGCCCACGGGGCTCTTCACTGAAGGTCAGTACTGCTGAGGAGATGGATTCTAAAGAAATCCTTATGTAATTAAAAGAATTCTATGAAAACTACGAAGTGTATAAATACCACAGTCATAAAAAGTGTTATATTTTTTCACTTTTATTATAGTAGTCCCAACAAATACTGGTCTTTATCTTTACTCTTACTTGAACATCTTGAAGTGCATAGGGAGTCTTTTGAATAGTTGGAATGCTGATTCGGTTTTAAATCATAAAGTTACTCGGTTGTCAACTCACTTGTCTTTATTCAAATGCCCAGAAGGGAAAACCAGCAATACACAATTTGTCTGAGTTTATAATGGTTGTTTCTGAATCTAGGCATCCTTTCCAGACATGGTCACTTTCTGTTTTGCTAACGTTTTGTTTGTTTGGTACGGATTTGGTAACAGCAGATTAAGCGATATGTCCATTTGATAGAACTTCACAAGAGGCCCAATGATTAAGCAGATTAAGCGATATGTCCATTTGATAGAACTTCACAAGAGGCCCAATAAACAAAAGTTAGTGGACTGAGTTAATTTCTGTTGCTTTTTATTCATTGATCAACCAAATCTGTTTATAAATTCTGTTATTCTGATTCCTTTTTACAGATTTATTTTGTCATCTTGTTCACTGTACGTACTGTCTCCACATGTACTGTAACTAGATGTTTGCTATTTAAAATGTGTGATGTTTGAAAATGCAGTGATTTAGATAGTTGTGTGCTGTGCCTGTTACTTTTTATGTTGTTTGGTTTTGACCATATTTTATATAGTTATCAACTGTTTTAGTTGGCAGTGTTATGCATCTGTAAACAACAAATTTGAACCCACTGTGTCATCACTTATCCTTGATGAAGGAATGTGAAATCTTTGAGCTTTGCTTACAACTATAAATCAGTCTACTGTATAGACTCAATTGATGTTCTCTGTAACAGTGTAAAATATTTCCATTGTGTTCAAACTAGATTTTATCATGGAATTACACAAAAACATGGAGACATATTGGTTCTGCTTTCAACCACTGAATAATATAAAGAACAATCCATACATTTTAGCACATATGGTACAAGAATATATGTGAGAGCACAGGTTTTACAGCACAAACCGTGTGTCTATGTAATACAAAATAAATGTGTTCCAAAACAGAGTTCAAAAAGTAAATTTCTAAACTATATTTAAAACAGCAGGACTTTCTTTTTGATTATCAGCACAGAGTTCTAGCAACACATGTCATTGACAAAATAACACTTTAAGATACATCATGCTGTTTACTTCAAACATTAACTTTAATATACAGGAAAGCAGTAACATTAACAGAATGAGCTTTGCTCAAATATGGAAATGTGAAAGCATGTTTGAAATTGGGGAATTTCCTGTGAGCTATTTAAAGAACTCCCATAACTACTGCAGGGAGCTAATTTTTTTTAAGCTTGTGTTTTTAAGGGCTTCATGAAAACTTGCCCTCTTATTCTTGATGTCATTTGTCATAAACTCTGTCCACTGTTCCCACAGCCAAGTACATTCAACTGGCCTGAAGAAGCTTTGCCTTTCTTGGCAGCATGATAGTTAAAAGAAAAGCACAAGATATTTCTTGAAGTGGGAGGAGAAAGATTTCATTACAATAGAATTATAACTCAAACATGGGCTAAGAATGGTATTTTGTCTTAACAACAAGGAGATTGTACTGCAGACACTAATAAATTTATTTTTTAAAAAATGTGTCTACACAGTAACTACCCAGTGTGCAGCACAGTAATTGTCAGTTGAATGTGCTGGATAGACTGCAGTGTGATGAGTTGCTTTCCAGTAAAATATAATGTCAAGGGTGTGTCTCCCCCTCTCAGCTAAAAGCTTTCCAAAGATTCGTAATTATGTGGCATCCTCAGACGTGAGGTGGGGAGTGATTGTGTCATGAAAGCATAATTTAATTTACAATACTAAGTTGTTATATTCATTTTTTAATGCAGTATTTGCTTTTTAGTCATTTGTTGTCATGTTTCTCGTTTTCTGTCACACATCACCTTACAGATCGGGGAAAGGGCAGAATTTTTGAACAAGTCAGCCCAGAAAAGGTTAGTAACACAGAGTTTTGTTTGGTTCACCGTCTTCAGACTTTACATTTTAAGTACTTGTAATATGACTGAGAATATGTCACTGGGCAAAGCACTGACACTAGGGCAGATATCAGGTTCTCAAAGTCAATTTGAACATTTTTTCCATGTTTGCTGGTTTTCAGTACTAGTGGGTTCGTTAACATTTTCATGTTAAGTAATTCTGATAAAACATGCTCATATGAAGTAATTGTGATAAGATATGCTTAATGTCCTACATTTTAAAAGATGTGTCATCTCTTTGTAATATAAATTTAGTGTTTATAGAGAAGCTACAGAAATAATGTATTTTAATATAAATTCAGTACCTTTCTAATACTTTCTTTGAGGTTACATACAGTAATATGTTCTGGCAACATTAATAACCGTTTATGACCATCCTTCCACTATACATTGCAGATACATAGGTTTTCATTATACTCTTAATCTAACTGCATCACAAACCCTTATCATAACCCCTTCTAATCTTAAATGTGACCATAGTCCTTACCCTAAGACATACTATTACATGTGTTACAGCAATTGTCAGGATCTTGGTATACCTGTACATCTTATGTATCTGTTACATCTTATGTATCTTTTGTAACTGAAGTCATAAAGCATTGTGAATGTTACTGTATCATATCCAGTCACTATGCTGGAGGTATGCAGACTATGTAACACCACATTCACATAAAGTGTGACTGATAATCAGGTGGGTAATATATACCAAAGTGCATATGTTGTGAATTATTTGTGCAAAGCACTAAAGTAAAATATTCTTAATGGCCCCATGTTGACTGGGGAGCTATGTCAGCAAATGGAAAAGGAACAATCAGAGGTTAATTTCACTCTGAAAAGTGCACTGGTGCACTACATAAGTTCAGTTCACCCTCTTGATTCAGGCTGTTCCCTTTAGGTTTAGGACAATGACCTCAGGTTCCCATGGCCAAGGGGAATAGAATTCTCAGACAGGCTCTGGCACATCATGCCCTTCCCACAGGATCACTTGTTGGGCAAAGATTCATTTTATGATGCTCCAATGACTGCAAGCATGCCAATTAATTTAGTGAGCAATATCTGCAACAGTAATTGGCCAGTGGAATACTGACAGAAGTGTTTTGCCCTGTACAAACTCCTGATCACTGATGTTATGTAGTGTAAAAGAAAATACAGAGAAAGGTAAACAGCAACTAGTAAGATGGATAGATTGTGGAAGGTGTTACAGGATATTCAGAACAACATTTCAAGATAATTTATTCATTAAACCGTGGAAGCATGAAAGCATGTTGTCATGCTCAATATAGATCAATGATATAATGCACCAAATTCTAATGCACCATACAACGTATTTGTTTTTCTTATTGGTAAAGAACAATTATATATAAAATACATTTCCTAGTTGCAAATACAGAGTATTTGTGAGTCCCACGTGCATTTCTTCATAGCTGTTACATGCTTGTAATGATTCCTGCTCCCTGTATTTACAGCAGCAGTGTTAAGGCTTCACACACACCCATTGTCTCCAAGATTGACAACAAGCTGGAGCAGTACACGACTGCTATTCAGGTAAATTCTGCATATCATCTGCACATATTAATTTAGAGATGTGTTGCTCTGCACCCTCCATTATATGGGAGTGTCTAATTTGTTTTATTTCTATCTGAGTTTGATGTGCTATTTTAGTGATCAATCCATTTGTTTTTTTCATGTGATATCATTATATTATCACAACATATGTTCCCTTTTTCCTTTGTTCAGAGCAACAAGGAGCCAAAGTCCCCAAAATCTCCTTCTGCTGACCTGCCTGTGGTCGGTGATGGGGTTCGCAACATCAAGAGCATGTGGGAGAAAGGGAATGTGTTTAGCTCTCCTGGAAACCCACAGGCTCCGAACAAGGTGAGAAATTGAATTCTGTGGTGTCAGTTTATATTTATTAACTTACATATCTAATTGATTTTATGTGTCTTAGTAATCAATGTGCCCAATACTAGTTTAAATATGCGATTTAAACATATTTTATAGAGATTAAATATTGCATATTGGTGACCTGCAAATTGCAGTTTAAGTCTGTTACATTGATGTATATATCCTGTTATATATTTATTTCTGAGTTTCTGTCAAAATGCATTTCTGTAATCCTCTTTAATCCCCTTTTTGCATGGTCTGTGCCATGGTCTGAAATTTATTTCGATTGGCTAAGAAACATTACATGTTAATTTAGTATTCAAAGACGCTACAGGACAATGTTTTTTTTTATTTGAAAGATGCATGTTGTGCTTTTGATATCAAGAAAGCAAGGATATTTGTTTTTAATTTCTTAAAAATATGAACAAGCCACTGACTTAAAAACCTTAGAGATTTAAAAGAAGATTGTATAAGTGCCAATACTTAAGAAATGCCTCCAGACAGCAAACTACAGTGTTATTTTTCAGTTCTCTCTTAGCCAATACGTGGGAAGATTAGTGGATAAGGATGTGTTCCCTCAAATCAGTTGGTATTACTGGTAGATTTCCTGGTATTTTATGATAGTGGATGTTATTGTAGTGCCTTTGAAGGAAGTGTTTGTTTGTTTTGACTGACATTAAACTAGCTAATTTTATGGCTTTATCACAGGAGGCTGCTGGACTGAAGTTTGGAGTGGCCAGTCGTATCAATGACTGGCTCAACAAAACTCCAGAAAGTGGCAAAACTCCAGGAGCAAAACCTGCTGTAAGTATAAACTCATCTTCCGTGCATTAGCCCTCTAACACAGCTCAACTAGCAGAAACAGGAAGAAATACAATTTCATTCCATAGCAGAAGAAAAAAGAAGACATTTTGACATTTTCTAACACTTTTATGACTTTTCCTATCGGCAGTCATTTAGAGTGATAAATTTTAAGTAAGAGTTTCACACAAGGGTTGGCATCTTGACATGGCGGTCAAGACTGGTTTGAATCTTGGGTGAATTTTACATGATATCCCTTTGATAGTGTGGATTTTTAAATGGTGCTGTCATTTTAAATTCAAAACACAACCTTTCTGGATTGGATTTGCTGATCTAAATTGTTCCTCACTCCATAGTCCTGTAATGGACTTCTGTCTCATCCAGGGTGAGACAATTTGTGTGCTGTCAATCCCTCCTGACACCCCTGTGCTTCTGGGCTTTGACCGCTCTGCCCAGGGGAAGCAGTTTTCTGATCATGGATATTCATTTCTGTAGGAAACCTGAATCTAAGCTGCATCTAAAGCAGCAGTCTCATACTCCCTTCCTAGACGGCCGATTTTATTCTAGATTGTGTAAGGAAAATTCAGTCTCAAACTGACATGCTGTAGCAGAACGTAGTTCTGAATCGGGCGTAGAACCCTTTATGTGGTTATACAGTGACCCCTAGTGGATATGAATACAATTACTAAATATCTGGAAAACTTTTACTGATAGAACAGTGCACAAAGGCCGAGTACAGTTCTAGTGTAGTTTTTTTGTATGAGAAAAACAGTTCTGTAAGAAACCCTAAACATGCACATAATATAGAATTATTGTATACTAAATATCCATTGAATCAAGTCATTTAATCAAAGCACTTTTAAATGTTAACCTAGCTATTATTAACGCAGAGGTCTAGAAAAGCTGATTGTAGGAACATCATGAGGGTATATGAAGGATGTTATGAAAATTATCTTGTTTGTGACAGTCTCATTTGTTCCATTTTGACCCCAGTGGTTTCTTAAATAATGTTAATACTATACTTAAAAGCCTTATACTGTGCTTTTAAAAAGTTTTTTTTCCTCATTAAACATTAATTAAATTAAATTTAAAACATTTGAATTCTTTTAACCTTACTTTTTTCAAACTACATTTGATTAATGTCCATACACATGCAATATTGTACCTTTCCCAAAACCTTTTCCTTAATTTATAGAGAAATAGACTAAAATTTCTAAAGGCTAAAATAATGTTTTTAAATTCCGAACTCAGTGCAATTTGCTTTGTAACAGCTTACGCTTCCTCATCCTGTTGTCTCTTTCTTTACTGCCTAAGTACTTTTCTCCTCTTCAGTATTCATTTCCAAGCCTCATTGTCCTTGGAGTGCTAGATTCCTCTCTCATCTGCTCTCTGTGCTGGCATACTCTTTTATCTCTACAGAACAGGTACTGTATGTGAAAGCCTCTTGCTTGCTTGTTTTCACTTTACTGGTTTTATTCTGTATAATTGTGTCTGGTTGGAGTGGAATGTTTCGTATAGTGCTTTCAGCTTTATAGTGCAGCACAAGATATTTACTGACAACCTCTGGTACAGTATAGTCACTCCTTCAGTAGAGCATATAAATACCTAATGTCTTCTAATGTGTTGAGATAAGACTTAGTTTTAATTCCATTTAATATATATTATACAATGTTACAAACATTTTGATAAGGAGTTTGTAATCATGCCATATTTATAGACCAGAAAAAGAAGTTTCAAAAAGCATTATTTGTAGTGCCATACCTACTCATAACAACTTTAAAGAGTTTACTCTGTTAAATATTCTTATTACATGCTAATGTGTGCAAATAATGTAGAAAAAAGAAATGAGGATGAACAAAGAAATGAACAACATGGATGTTGCTTACAAAAACGTTCTAAGATGCAGTGAGGTGAGATTCTCCTCTGAATAAGCTACTGTGCATCACAGGAGGTTTGTCTGAACATGCAGGCATTCCTTTCACACAGGGCAAGAAGGATTGGTCAAATAGCATATGAAGAAAAGCATGAAGGACAGTGGTATCAAGAACAATACTATTTTACATCAAGAATGCAATAATATTACATTAAATATATGTTACATTACACCCCAGAACAATTGCTTCCATGCACTCTCCTGCACTTTCCCTCATATTCACAGCCTCTGACCTGTCCTAACTGGTAAAGATGCCTGCACAATACTTATATTCCTGTTATCTTTGATAAGGTACAATACACCTTCTCATGGAACCTTTTCCTCAATTACACATGCTTGTAATGTGCAATTTACACTTAAATTTCACACACATGTGCCAATTTCATGCGCTCTGTTGAAAGTGTTTACATAAGGAGCATTCACCTTTGTGAATGCAAAGTCTAACAAGATACTACTTACACTTGGCTTTTTCAGATCTTTACTCAATTATCATGGATGAGACCCAATTCAAGTAACACGAAAGCATAAAACAACTTAGCGGAACAAGTATAGGTTTATTCATTGTGTTTTTTTTTCTTCTCTTTCCAGCATGGAATAAACTTTTACTTGTTCCTTTGCAGCATATGTGTGCTGACACAGCTACCTACTTGAACTACTTCATCAAAACAACTTAAGTCTGCAAAGCTAAACTCTTATACAATCTGTATATACAGTATGATTCACAGTGCAAAAGAATGCAGTTTTGCAAATGGAAGTATACAGCATGTATTTTTTTTTTGCTTTAAAGACACCAACTGAGGCAGAAAAGGGGAAATGTTGTACAAGCTTTTGAATCAGTTTACTCCTGACACTCTAAGATGTTCAACTGGAGATAGGTAAAATATATTCTCAAACCCGGATTTCCATTGCAGGATCTGAAGCCTGGGGATGTAACAAACAAGCGAAGCTTGTGGGAAAACAAGGCTTCCTCCCCAGACAAAACAACCCCCTCTGCTAAGGTGAGCTTATGACGGTTGATGAGATATTCCTTGATTTCTTTATGGTCCTCATGCAATGTTCCTGTTTTTATTTTTTTATCATATTTTTTTTCGTATTTCATAGACACTATGTGACACAATTTAAATATTATGCTCAAGTGAGCAAGCAAGGCATTCTGCAATTTCACTAATTAACTGTTTCTACCTTTATATTGGCCTTCAAGATTTCATTCAGTTGATCAGGAGCAGGAAAGAGGAACTTCCACATAAAATTGTACATTAAAATTAGTTTTACTTGTGTTTTCTAAAAAGCTTTGCCTTGTATTTTTTTTTCTTTCTACCCATATCAAGAGTATGTTTTTGTCCTGGCAAGCACAATTTTTAAAATCAGAACCTGACAAGAATCAGTTCACCCTGTATTCATTAAATTCACAGTGGAGATACTGTACCAATACTGTCACATATTATTATTTTGTGTCAAAATCATTGTATTTTCTTGCTGTTGAAAAGGCACCAGTATAATGAGAGATATAAGAAATCTCTTTTATCCTGAAATAACACTGGATTCTTTTATTTTTTTATGCTTAAGCCCTCTCTTAGCTAGTTGACTTCACCACCTAAATCTGGATGAGCCAAAAAGGTAAAACCTTTTAACACATAAAGCATTGTGTTCTTCACACTAATCACTAAATAATGGGACTGATATTATGTAAAGCAACATTTAACAGCAAGTCAGAATATGGAATAAAATTACCCCCAAAAATAAAGAAAATGGAAAAACAATTCACTTCTGAAATAAGCAGTGAAATTTGGTCTTATTTAAATTTGTTTCTGCTGCTAATATTTGTTTAGCTTCAGTGTTTTACCACTTTCTGTACATGTGTGATTACAATATGTTCTGTTTTATTTTATTGTGACTCTTAATAAATAAATTACAATTTGAAATGCTACAGGGATTTCTCATAGTAAGCGTTTACTTTCTTCAGTAATAATAATAATGATAATCGTCACAACTACAGATTATGTAATAAAACATATTGTATGCACAATATTTTTTAACTAGAATCAGGGGTTACAAATCTGAATTGTTAAAGTCTGTCATTATATGTAAAGTAGGTGCAGTGAAGCATTGCAGAGAGAGAATTTGGCATGAGTAAAGATTTGCTCTAAGAATCAAATAGGCTGAACTTGTGACTTTGGGAGCATGACAGCTACAAGAAGTGTAGAACCTCTCTAAACTATGTCTGCAGGCTTTTGTCCTATAAACAGGGGAACTGACTAGTACTGAAAGAACTTGGATACTGGAAGTCATTACCCCATCACACATTGGTAAAGCTCATCCTTAAAGCACCAGGGTTATGAATATTGTACTGTTAGCAGGATTTAATTAAACAAAAATCACCCACAAAAAAATCTCTGTTTTTCTTTGTGGATAATTGTTTTCCACAAAATTTTAATTTTGAAATTTAGTTAGAGGCCTTCATCTTTGAATGAGCACTGTAATTATTACACTTGGATAATTCTATTTCTCTGCAGTAAGCTGTGGTTTATGAAGACAACCACTTTCACCACCTTGAGGACTTGATCCTTGATCCTGTTTTCTTTAACTTTTTAAAGGAAGAATGTGTGAACTTAGTTTGAGAGAAAACAAAAAGTTCACCCTTATGAAAGCTTGATTAAATTGATTAAGTATGACAGAATATTTGAAATGATTAAGTCAAATCCTGATTTAGCCATTGACTGTGTGTGACTTTGAGCATGCTAGGAAACTGAGTCACCTCAATCATCTTTTGTACTTGCTTTTTTTCTTTGCTGAAGAATGTGGGCTACAGATCAGCAGTAACAATACACTCTGTACTTCCTTTAATTGAAACCTTCAGACTGCCGTTAGTTTCATGCTTAACAGTCTGTAAAACAGAAGTAATATGCACTCCTAAACAATTACAGCTGTACCATGTATGTTATTTTTACATGAAGCAATTATATTATGGTGTTTTGTAATGAGAATTAGAATTATAGTTGTAATATATATATAATTAAACACCTAACTATCAATTGCTGTTTGTCTGTTTTTTTAACCATATGTACAATTGAGCAAACTGAATGAATAAATCATATATCTGTATACATGTATTTGTACAGCAAAAGAAACATTGTAGAGCATTCGATGGCTATCAGTCTGAAGGTTAAAACTGTTCTTTTGTAATATGGCACACTGATGGTGGTAGGTTGTCTTAAATACTTGCACAGATTAACTGGTAAATTTTCTTTTTCCTCTGATTGCCCCCCAACATTCACCTGATGACACTACGTTGTCTTTGCAGATGACAACAGGAGGCAAGAGTAAATCAGTTACCAATGGTAAGTGGCAAGTGTCGTTGAGTTGACTGATGAATACAGCTCGAAAACCTGGCAAGGGGATGCCAAGGATGAAAAGGTTATTTCAAACATATGTCCCCTTGTGATTTTTAATGCATGCCACCAAACAGCTGAGTCCTTTCTTTGTGTCCTTTTATGACTTCGAAGCCAGTCACTGACATGACATGACATGACGAACCCTAAACATCTAAAGGACAAGGTTAAAGACTAAATGTTGAACTTGGTTTCAGCTGCACTACAGAGTCCTTGATTAATGGCCGGACATGTGGCTTTACACTCATATTTATAAACATGATACTGCCAGGTTTCAGTGTGCAGTAAATCAGTAGTGGTTGTGTTGCTTTTAAGGTATGACCTTTAAAATGTCAGTGCCACAGTGCACTATTTATAAATCGCCGTAACTGAGTGCGTGTTTGCTCTGACTTTTACTCTGAATGTGCACCACTATAAAGAACCTTGCAGGTTACAAGGATGCTGGACATGTCTCTGTAACATGCAATTCCCCTCACTTGGGTTCTAAAATTACCTGACACGAGCCAAATCTGGCCAACATTCCTCCACCTTGATTGTCACATTATGACTGCGTGCTCTGGAAGATTAGCAATGCATTGTTGTATAAGACAGGCTGAGGTAAGAATACAGAGGCCCAAAAAATCAAGTGAAGTATGCCAATACTGTGACAAAACTCTAAGCACCTAGAATAAGTTTTGTAATATACAGGAACCATCTCCCTCAGAAATCATTGGGGAACTTGTGAAATGTAGTGGTTTCATAATTAAAATGAATACACTCAAACCCATAGCTTTCTGACTATAATACTACCCCTTGCCTTCACAAATTAATGAACATTTAATATTCACATTGCTTTAAGAAGCAGAAGTGAAGCATAGAAAGTGTTGATTTACAGCACTCACCTTTCCTTATCATTTGTGTGATAAGAGTTAGTAATGAATTCCATGTTTTTTTCTTTATTTCATGGATTGCAGTTACAAAATACACATTGTGCTACCAAGACAATGTTAATTGGTTCATAATACCAACCACAAGCTGATAAATTTGCTTTACCTTTATGCTTTTGTGCATAAGGATTTTACAGTCTCTCTTTAGGTTCTTTCTTTTCTGACCACTGACAACTTTTTCTTCTCTCTCAGCAGGAATGGGACACTAACCTTTCAAAGAACTTGAGAAGGCTGGAACCAACAAAGTGCTAGACTATCCCTTTTGCTATGTATATTTTAATACCAAACAAAAAAGAAACATTTTTTTTTCATTTTATAATAGCCTGGGGAAAAAAGCAAAATGTATATTAGCACTGTATTTAAAGCCCACAGTTTTATATGGTCATGTTTAAAGTATACTGCCTTTGCACAAGACCTTGTTCTTTCTCTAGAAAACCATGCTGTGAAATTTGAACATTTATTTTGATATAAGTTTTTTAATAAGTTTATATTAAATTGCAGAAACAAAAGAAATGAAATCTATACTTGACCTGTGATGCAGTTTTTTTTAATGAACAAAACCAGGCTGTGAAAAGTTTTCCATCCTAAAGAAAGTTTGGTGTGTCAGATTAAGCTGGTTTGTCTTTAAAAGAAAGATTCTACATCACTCTCGTGTCAAAACTAACCATCTTATCTTTAGTTAATTATCAAATTTATCATTCTAGCAAAGCTGAATGCTGAAATTGGACTAATGTTAGCTAATAGCGGTACTGATTTTAATGGTTGACCTAATAGAGAATAGTGAAATGACTGCAGTGGTTTTAGCTCACATGCACTCATCGCTTTGAGACGTTTAGCTTAAGGACACTTTCTAATGGTAGTCAAATATTCTAATATATGTTAGTACATATATTAAGCAATAACCATTTACATTATAGCCTATGTCACAGCTTTTTTATTTGAGGTTGTTCACACGTTTTTATACTCAAGATAAATACAATCAGAGGCATTTAAAAGCAAAGCATTTGAATAAGGAAAGTTTGTGCTTTATAGGAGCAATTTTTTCATATCATCTTTTCCCCCTACTAAAATGGATCTGTGGTTATTTACATCTGAGATCAATTTGCTTTTCTGTGGATTAAGAGTGTTTCAGACCTGTTGCACAGGGATAAAACAGCAGTATCTCTTTTATAAACATGACACCATCTTGCTAATTTTGCCTTTCAACCAGAAAGCAATACATATGTAGGAGCTCATGATGTAACTCTGACATGTCTTGCATATTTACAATGGAAGCATATGAAAACTATGCATAGTTTTGAATGTTTGGGGAGAATACGTTTGTAGGCCCAATTATCCCGGGATGGCAAAGTTGGTTCACAGAATAAGACACAAAATCTTTTAGTACTTAGACCAGACTAAGCACTGCCTACATGGTGCTCAAGGTCTGCAGAGAAATGAATGCCTGTGACTGCTGCACATCCACTAGCATAGGAATATTCCTGGTGTGTAGGGCTTTGCTGAAGTTTATGACTGACTACAGTTTGCATTAGATTGTCCAATTAATGCAAAGGCAAATATACTGAGAGTTAAAGTCCCAGTAAAGTTCTGTGAATGCATTGCTTTATCGGAGTGCATTGCACCTGCTGCCAAGTAATTTAATCAAAGTTAGCATATATGCAAATTTATATGAACTAAAGTGTTAAAAGTATTCCAGTATCACTGCATAACTGAAACAATGGACAATGTGTATTTCTTTTTTTTTTCCTTTTGAGACAAGCAAGGCATAAAACATTCCGCCATTATTGTATGGTTTTGCTAAGCATTTTTCTTTCCTGCACCCATTTCCTTCAGATTTTCCTGTGTGGAAGCTGTTATCTGATGTCGGTGCCATAAAGACGGAATCGATATTTAATAGTAATTTTTAAAAATAGTTTTAAAAAGCATGACAAGACATAGTAAGGTCCAAACATCTTCAATTTTGTTATAGACTTGTGATTCTGGAAATATCTCGTACCACTATTTTTCTTTAAAGGGGTGTGGGGAAGGGATAACCTAAGGACTATTGCGAGCTGTTGACAATGAGAATTCTAAGGCTACACCAATATGTTTTTATTTTTTTAAAGAGTTTGCTTAAATGATATGCATTAGGCATATCCATCCAGTGATTAACTGCACAGGTCAAGTACATCTCTGGTAAATAGTAAAATAGTAGATTGTGTCATGTCTAGACATAAGACACTTGAAAAATGTGCGTAGGGAAAAAAACATATTCACACTGAGTATAAAATGCACTGAATTGAACATGATCGGATACTCAGTATCTTGACTTGTTTGTCTTTCAAATTAATCTTACTGGTGTCAGCTATAACATCCTCAGCTAAATCTTTTAATGTGAGAAGGGAAGATATAGGGTGCTGGTGTTACACATTGAGAATATTTGTTGTTTTAACACGACAGGTGGGAGCTTTTTACCTCACCGAATTTACCTAATCAGAATTAACACACATTAAATTTCTAGGAAACTCTATTCAAACCAATACTTTAAAAATATTAGGTTTCTTTTTAAATGATGAAATTGTAGTACGTAAAATATTTTAAAGTCTAAAGAAAATTCTAAGATCAGGACCTAAAACAATTATTGTAGTTTAATGTGGCTTCTGGGTATTGTTGAATTGCATGTTTACAACAAAATTGTTGGTAACAGCTTAATTTGAATTGGATGCTTAATACTATTTACATTTCCTGCATAAGTGATGCATAAAACTGCTTAAGTATAATTAAAGAGCTTCGAAAGTGCTTTTCAAGTCAAACTACATGCGTATACTATATTTATTCATAACAGGTTGTGTTGTTTTTTAATGCTTCATACCTCTTGCTGCTATAATGCTGAATGAATTACATGGCTGATAAATAATTGATTCTCGTAATTACAGTGAAATAAAATGTGACGTGAAGTGTCTTCGATTCATATTTCATTACACTGTTTTTTGATTATGTACTGAATACTGCACTATGTCTTTGTTGTTCTTTTATATTACAAATTGCAATACTACATTTTGCTGCGTTTATGACCTAGCTTGTTCTGGATTAGCCCCAGTTCAAATCAGGTGTTATAAGATTGGATGGATGCTTCACACAACTCAGTTTACCCATACCTTTGCCTGTATTAAAAATAATTCATTTTAAAAGTCTGAAGAATTTCTCAGATGTGTTTAGAAAAGTCATTTAATACTAATGTTTATCTTTTGTTTTGTTGTGTGTTTACTTTTTATAAACACATGTAATTATTTTATATGGATAAAACTATGCAAACCATGTCTTCACACCATCTGCAATTTCTGCCATTTTGTAAACACTATGGGTATTTCTATTGTAGTGGATAGCTTCATACAACATGTTTAAATGGTGTATCAGTGAATTTGCAACCACAATAAATAAACAAATATTGTTTAAGACAAAACCTGTAATGTGCTTTATTCTTAAAGTATTTGTGGGTCCATTAAGACTTGTTTTTTTAGATGTACTGCACAACAAAGGGATATAATAATTTCAATAATTTAGTAATTTATTTTGAATGTGAGATTCTGGGAATTATATTGTTTCTATTCTAAAATACCTAGGTGTTGAGGAGTTTTTATCTTTAGCAGGTAAATACACAGAGATAATAATGGATTAAAGTTTTTTAGCCACATTCTAAAAAAAACAAAACAAAACTTGCTGTGTGTATAGTTATATACATTAAAACCCACTTGAAATGATCAAATGCCTGATACTATATAATTTCTCAGACCTATACAGTATTTGTAATTTTGCTGCTGCTCAGTCTTGCAAAACCTTTATGCAAGCTACAGTATTCATAACTACACTAACCAATCAGCAGAGCAAATGTGTCACGTCACATGAGGTGAAAGGCACAACTTTCCGGAGAACCTTAATCCCTGAACCATCCTGTCTAAATTCTGTGCTGAAAGTGTAGAGAACACTTTGTCTCCTTCACAGTAACAGGTAAGAAATTTAAAGTATTAGAATTTATGTCTGCATTTTGCAGTGCCTTTGTTCCAGTAGACCTGAACTGTGTGCTTTGTGCAATGCGTATACTGTATGCTTTAATTTTTACAGTGTTCTTTCAAAACTGTGTAAGTAATCCAATAACTGAAATGGATTACTAGAAATGGTTCTCTAGAAATGGATAGGTCAAAAGGAATCACTTTAATTTGTTAGATAGATGCTTTATTTTAGTTTGAGGTGGAGTGTGTGTCCAGGATTGAATGTGTTTGCATACTTCAAAGAATTTAAAGGTACTTTCCTTTAGGATCTGCTTCCTAATTTTAAAGTTAAAAATGCACTCTGCCCATTTTGAATTTCCTGTGAATGCCCTGGAGATTGTAAGCATGCAGTAAAGAATTAAGACTGAAAGGCTAATGGTCACAATGAACTGGAGCTTACGCTGCAAATATTGGATGACAATACATCTAAAATCCTAAGTAAAATTTTCTGTTTTCACTTATTTTGTTACCAATTAACATATCATTTAATATATCTCCACAACATTATAGACTTCTGTTACAACGACCTACTAAATTTTATGTACTGTATATTATGTCAGTGTCTTTTTAGCATCATGCTTCATTAAGGAACAACTTCTATGTTCTGTACTCACATTGGTTCAGAGATATCTGTAGCTCTGAAAAGTTTCCTAACATTGAGATTGTCAAACTTGGTGCTTTGGCTCCATTTAATTGCTAAACTGAAGTATGATACATGTTGTTTTTCATTAATATTTCTCAAGAAAGTGACCATGTGACTGGTACAAAAAATAAAATACAGTGGAAAGTGATGACAGCCTATGCATTTGAAATCCTTATGATGATGCCAAAGCATTTGAAAACCTCTTGTTTAATTAGCTTATATAAATGGTGGAAAGCATGACCAGTGTAATGTTTTTAGCATTCTACACTGTTATTTAAGTTTTCTGAAGTCATGATTTTCTACATTTAGGGTGTTACAGTTGTTCAAGGGCAGTATTCATTACCATGTGAAGGACAGACAAAGGGAGTGTTCTTGTGAGCTTTGTGTTACCTTGAATTGGAGACAGAAATCTGTCTACAACAAGATACCCACACTTTTAAGCAGTACATTGTGTTTGTCAAGACAGGTAAGCAATGTGCTAAATTCTCTTCATTGTTATCATTACAAAGGAGCTTTCTGAAAACAATCAACTGAAATATTTTTGATTTGAGAGCAGAACTTTGTATGAGTAATATCACTGGTTTTCTTTATGATTTTGTCCTCAAGAGTTCTGTATTAAATGATGTGTTTTTTTCTTACAAATCCAAATTAGTTAACATGATGCTTTTAAAAGTCATTCTGAGAGTGATATTAAAATTTAAAATGCTCTGCTACATGACAAATAGCTTGATAGTTCTAAAACACAAACTAAACTCTTCATAATGTTTAAAAAACATGATTCAACCAATTTGAGTATACAGTATGTTCTTATGAGTATACTGACTTAAAGGTCCATGTGTTGAGTATTTTTTTGGGACATACAAGTTGGGTAATGACAAGAAACTTTTTCCTGCAAACTATGCAAATTATACTTGAAGCAGATGTCATTTCCCTGTAGCACAATAACGTCACAGCATGGGGTCAAAATTAGAACACTATAGAACATGTGGTGTATTTGATTTATTGTCTGAATGTGTGAAACTGTTGAGAGAACAGCCGCATTTAATAGTTTGAAGGCATGATTCACACCTGTTCTTAAAGTATTGTGTTATTTTTAGAAGTAGCATCCTCAAAAGGTTTTTCAGTATGGAAAGAACATCAACTCCCTTCTACCAACGTGTACTGTATATTAAATAGGAATAGGCAAGTAGAAAATTTAAACATAAAAGCATAATACCCTTCTTCCTTTTGGCATATATCTGTACAGCCCTTTAAAATCAAAGCTTTTTTAAGTGTTCTGAATTTGAATAACAATGTCAGAGAAAAAATTAAACAACCTAAATCAACAAGTAAATTAAGTCCTGTAACCAGTCCCCAAATGTTACCTCAAAAGTTCAGAAAAGATTTTTTAAAACAAGTTGGAAATTATCATAACACTGAAATGAAATGTACTTTTTAAAAAGTCTTAGCCTGTATCATCTTTTAAATTTTTACTTAGATTCTTTTATGCTGTGGTACCATTAGTTTCTCCAGTGAATGTTGCTCTAGTCTAAAGCAATTCAAAGAAAGCTATAAAATGGTTTCAGTCTTTCTGCAAAAGAGTAGAATTTTGACTTTCCTAACTTGTACACTAAATAACTTGCAATCATTTGGTCCTAACCTACTCAGATGAGTAGAAAGCAGGCTTTACCTGCTGATTGACTATTAATGAAAAAAATAATATGGTGCAATCTGGGATCCTGGCTTACCGACCAAAGTCACTGCCCAAGCCAAAACTCAGAGGTACAGTACCTGCCCAAAGGTTACACTTCAAGCTATAGGCTACTGTTTTCTTCTGTTTAAGACTCCCGAACAAAAAGACTGAATAAAGTGGATATTGGCACAGATATTGGCTGAGTAAAATCATTAGGAGTTGTATTACCGAGAATAAATAAAGTCCAATTGAATCACAAGTTCAATTAAGATATTATAATTAATGGGTAAATGGAAGCAGAGTCTCCAAGGAGGGGGGTTATTTCAGTATAATAGGACAGTTAATCTGTAAATGGTTCTTTTTCAGTCCAGTCCATTTTAATTTCCATTTAGCATTGAAAGTAATACAGAACAATAAACATTGAGCATATAAAATAATTTATTTGTCCCTGACTGTTGTCAGCAAAAATTAATGTCAGGTACATACAGATTTATACAGTGTCTGTCTTTATTTCCTCAGGCAGTACACAAAGATGGCAGACACAGAGGAAATAGTGGAGGAAGTAGAGTAAGTATAATTCTTCCTAAGCATTTCTCCTGTTTTTTGTAACAAAGGGTCTTAATGTTACTTTTCTTTTCTTTTTTCAAGGGAAGAAGGTAAGATCCTTTTTCATTACTCAACTGAATTATATGTTTTGGTGGAAACTACATAAATTGATTAACATGAATTTTGGTTTTGCAGTTGAGGAAGCTCCTGATGAAGAAGGTAAAGTTTGTTCCTGGTGGACTTAATATTTTATATTAAGATCCTATTTCATTACTCAGCTGAATTATATATTTTGATTTAATGTTTTGATGGCTACTACATAAATTGATTGACATGAATTTTGGTTTTGTAGTTGAGGAAACCCCTGCTGAAGAAGGTAAAGTTTGTTCCTGGTGGATTTAATATTTTATATTAAGATCCTATTTCATTACTCAATTGAATTATATATTTTGATGGCTACTACATAAATTGATTAACATTAATTTTGGTTTTGCAGGTGAGGAAGCACCTGCTGAAGAAGGTAAAGTTTGTTCCTAGTGGATTTAATATTTTATTGAACTTTCATACTCTGTATTATTAACAAAATAAGAGCCACATTCATACTATGTGAGACTCTTCTGGCATACAAATTAAGGCATGCAAAATATATTTTTTATAATCCCTGATGTTTGCAAAGTATGTGTTAAGAATGTTGAGAATCTATTTGAATTATTTTTTCCAAATGCTTAATTATAAACACACAGTATACAGTATTTGACAATTCACATTTTTTTTGTAGGGCTTCTAATAACTTTGTAATATTTTAAAAATGAACATATGAGATTCAGTGACAGATAAAAGCCATAAGTGCCCAGAATATATTATAAATTTCATATTAAAACATATTAATATTCCAAAATAAATATCCACAGACAAACATTCTTTAGTCTTGCTTCTTTTGTTTAAGATATGTTAATGATATAATGGAATAGGTGGATACATATATACTGTATAACATAAATGTTTTTGTACTGTGGAATGCTGTCTCTGAAATTATGGAAACCCCATGCATAATGCACTATTGACTATTGTATGGATTAAAGTATTCTTGTATCAGTAAATTATTCAGTATCTCATCTGATGTAATAATCCTAATAATACGAAGCTTTGATAATGTAGATAGTAATTGATGATGTAGAGTATCAGTGCACTCTCTTTTGTCTTTTATTAGTTTCACTATGTTTTCATTATGTTTCACTTTTTCTTTTTTGTAATAATGGTTAATTAATGTTGGAAGATTTTTAATAATGTATACACTTATATATTTATAATAATAAATGTATAGATTATTCAATTGCTTAGTGCTCAATATAATATTATATAAAACATTTGTATTTTTTCATATACAGTAGCTTGTGACTATTTGCTTGTTCAAAACCATTTTTGGATTCAATATCACAGTGATGTGTTGTTACCTTTTGTTTGAGCTATGCAGCCATAGAGTGTCAGGGATGTGTGTTTCACATGTTAATTCACACAAGCAGATAAGCTTGTATTTGTTGTTAAATTGGGCACTATTCCAAATCAGTAGGATGCAGAACTGCACATTTAGCTTAATAATTGGACAAAGATGACATATACTGATAGTTCACACTAATGATTCAGTAGCTGCAGTGAATTAACTTAATGTCTGGCTTTATCAGAGTGACCAGGTATGCTAAATGCTTTTGTTGTTTTGTACACTTATTATGTTGGTTAGACAATTGGCTGAAAACAGAGCTTGTGGTTTATAATAGTGTGTGCAAACAATACAAGACAGCACTGTGAAATAAACATGAAGACGGTTATGCGCCATGGTTCCTGAGGCCTAGATATGACTACTGCTGCTTAAGGTGAACGCAACAATGCTAATTCACATAATTCAGTGTCTGTCTCAACAACTCCATTGGAGGTGCACATAATTATTGTAAAGTGACATTACACACACTGCAACTGGTAATTCAGCTCAGAGGAACAGTAGACCTTTTATTCACTTAAGATTAACTTTTGGTCTTAAAGCCCCTGTCAAGAACTTAATTTCTGGCACTCTATGGTTTGGACAATATTTATTAAAACTGCAGCTATTACATTAATAATATTCTTTAATTTTATACTGTGATTATTTAAAAATGTTCTGTTTTTCTACATATTAATGGATGTGTTTTTTGTTTTTATGGCATGTCACCATACATGTACAAGAAGAGGCACCAAAAGAAGGTATTTTATTTTGTTTGCAGATATGAATAGTCACTACATCAATCAGAGATTTCTCTTATATAATTTTAATTTTAGTAATGGTGCTGTTGGGCTTGCCTTAATATATTAGCTTGTATATTTTTCCAGGTGAAAAGGACCTCTAGATATTCCTTTAAAATGAACTCCAATCAGTTTTCCAATCAGCCATGACCAGTTTTAGTCATGACTCTTTGCTAGTTATCATTTTATTACTTGAAACACACTTGAAAATACTTTGGTTCTCAGATATTAAAAATGCATTAAAAGTAAAACATGAATTACTTTGTGAATCAATATAATATACTTAAAACATAGTATTCCCTTTTCCCAGAATTTGTTTTTTTTTTTGTGCTGAAATCTTTTATACTTATTTTTTTATCTATATGAGCACCATTTTTGGTTTAGGAGAAACTGGTAACACTGCAGACCGTAAGAACATCTTCCAACATACAGTACACTTTTTTCATTTGATAAATTTTACAAATTCTATTTTTTTATAAACTATTGCAGATATTATTATACTGTACTACTGTAGGTGTCATTAAATGAATATAGTATGTTTAAGCAAAGAGAAAGTGGACATTGTGCTTAATGTTCCTTTTCTTCTTTTAAACTGCAGAATCTTTTTTAGCTAGTCATGTTTTAACTAGTTTAACTAACTGCTGGAATAATTTAGAAATGATGAGAAACAATCATCTTCAAGTAGGAAACTATAAATCATAATTTATCATCCAAAATGCAATATACAACATTTACAATGAATTTATTTATAGAATCATTTTTTAATCACCTTGTGTAATGTTTTAATGAGGTTATCCCCAGACAAATGCATGCAAATAACAGTTTTATTTTGAAACAAAATACAGTTACTGTTCTTATGTATTTGTACATATTCTGATGTCTAAATCATATTTTATATATTTTATTAGCTGAAGCTGAAGAAGGTGAGTGCTTATCATTTCCTTTTTTATAGACACATTTTAATCCAGTTTCATAGCAAGTGTGTATTACAGTCTGTATTTTCTGTACACAGAAAAATATTTATTACTTATATTCAGGATTGTTGCATTTTTTATCTTAATATGCCATTAAGATTTTCAGAAAATCCATATTTGATATTTATTTCTGTATATTTAATTTGCAGATGAAGCAAAACCAAAACCAAAGTAAGTAGTGATATAAGTATTATTTCATAATGTCGGTATTTTAGGTTTGAAGACTACACTAGCACTAAATTATTTGGATTTATATACTTTATGTTATCAAGACAGTGGTTCCTTTTATTGAATGCATAATGACATGAATGGCATGATTTGCATTTTATACAGATTTTCACTTCATGAAACGTATTTCCATTATACCATAATTAAGACTGAATAAATATGTTGTTTGAATTATTGTAAGTTGATTCCTTGCTTGAGGGAAAGACAGCCTTACTGCGACATGGTGTATTATTAGAATACAATGTCATGAGTTTTGAAAACACGGTGAACACAATCTATATGCAAGTTCGAGATAAGGCAGTGTGTCAAAACCCAATAACAATGATTACTTTTCACCTTACACATCTCTTCACCTGCACTAACTATTGACTTTGTTTCCAAGTCTTTCTACAAAAAGTCTCCAAATTCTTTTTTTTCTACTACTCTCAACTACCCCTACGATGCCCGCAGTTAACTCAGGACATAGACACATTAAAACACAATGCCACTCCCAATTGTTCATGTCCAACCAATCATAGATTTGCTTGTTACGATTTGTAAATCTGAAACAAGTGGAGGTCTGTAACACAAATCATACAAGACTCACATTCCTGCACTCCTGATAAGGATTTCACTTGGAGGTTAACATATGTGATTACAAGGCTCAGTTGAGTGCTTTTTACACTTTGACATATTGTGAAATTTTAAGAACATATTTTCCTTCCATAGGTTTTTTGTTCCTAACATCATACCACCAAAAATCCCTGATGGAGACAAAGTGGACTTTGATGTAAGTGAACTAAAGGATGTAATGCATGTTTCTGTGATGTATGTCAAGATTTTTCATTATAGCTCCTAATTTTGTAGTTTCTATGCAGTATATTTCGGTTACTTTTGCATGCTAAAAATTATCTTTATTAATGGTCATCCTTTTCTGTTGCAATATCAGCAAAATCCTTTGCTGTCCTTTTATCGCTTTGGGTATGACAAGTTCAGTTTACATCAATGTTAAGGCAATTTCATTACTACATACAGAAGGCACTGGTGAGCCCCAACAACGTATTCAGAATAAAGAACGTCCACCTGCCATTCTCTTGTTTTCTATATAATGCTTCATGAAGCACTAGATAATTCCAAAATATATAGAGAAAGTAGGTCTATCTACTCAAAAGAGTGTACTCATTTTCTAACCATTTTATCCAACTGAGGGTTACAGAGGAGAAGAAACCTATCCTGGCAAGTAACAGGCACAAAGCAGGATACACCCTGAATGAGATGCCAATTCAATGAACAGACATACCCAGTCATACCATGCCCAATTTAAAAAAGGGCCAATTAACCTACAACTATGTGTTTGGACTGTGGGCAGAAGAAGATATGAAAGGATGCAAAAGTAACACTTTGAAATCTAGTAGTGTAGTGGATTAAAAGCGTCCACTCCAAGTCACATAATACCAAGTACAATATACTAGTTTCTCGGATACTAAAAGCCCACTTCACACTAATTTATTTTTTCAACAAGTTCTTAATTATGTAACGCTTACGGCCGACAGAGACTGTGTAAGAGCCGGCTTACCAGAGCTGTGACGTTCCGCCCTTCCCTGTAATAGCAGGACCGCAGCCAGGCTGGGTCACTGTTGAGTGACGCTGGAGGCCCGGGTTCGCGTCCCCGATGGTGGGGGCCGACTTGTGTAGGCAGCAGGCAAGGGCGCCCACCTGAACCCCGTAGCGTTGCAATTACTTTAGTAATTTAATTTAATTAAGTAATTTAATACTAAAGTAATTTTAGTAATTTAGTTGTTGCAGTACCTCGGTTATTTGTTTGTATGAGTGTGTGAATATCATCCGTCAATTTTGCAAATATTGTGGAAAATGTGTTAATGACTACATTAACTGGGCCACAGGATATCCACAGGAAGCGTATGGAGAAGGACCTGATGGAACTGCAGACTCTTATTGAATCACACTTCATACAGAGGAAAAAGGAAGAGGAGGAGCTCATTGCTCTAGTCAACAGAATTGTAAGTCCTCTGCGTACATCTATAAAACATTGAATTTGGGGAAAATAAAACTTACAGTAAGTGATTCTGAGTCTTCACTGCCAATAAAATCTGGATTTTTTTTTAGTATAAATCCTAGTTAATTCAAAATTCTCAAGCCCTCATGAAGTTAATGTTCACTTGTTCCAGTCTCATTTCCAACAGAATTATAAAAATTTAAAGCAGCAGTGTATAGTGCTGAATAGTACTGATATCTTGTAACCCTTGAGCAGTGTACATCCCGATTTGCTTCAGTAAAATACCTTTAGAATGAAAGCTTTAGTCAGATAATTTAAGAATAAGTCTATTGTCAGGTAAGATCATTTTCTACTGTCAATATTTTTCCTTAATTTTAGTGTCATTCAAAAAATACAAATGTAAAGCAAAACTTATCCTTGAGGAATTCCATTTTAGTTGAATATGATAGATATTTTCTTTTCAGTTTTCCACATGCTATGCACTAACATATTTGAGGAAAAGGCCATTATTTAGGCTCATCTATCCAGCATTACCACCACAATTTAAGAACTTTAAATTGACATCAATTTGAACACTATTCCTATGTATGTAACTGACAACAATGTGCGTTGTTGGGATTTTCGCAGGAAAAACGCCGAACTGAACGGGCAGAGCAGCAGAGGATCCGTACGGAGAAAGAGAAGGAGAGGCAGGCCAAGCTAGCGGTGGGTGATGAGGCTGGTGAATTTCACCTGCAGTCATGAAGTCACTGCTGTATCGGTTACATTGCAAGTGACAGTAGTGAGTTAGATAGGATGCCATTTTAAAATGTTCTGTGGATTTGAAGAAAACGGATTTATAAACAAAACAAAAATGAGTAAAATTAACTAATGCAAATTTCAATCTCATGTCACTTTTTAAAAAAACATACTATAATCTGTATCTATTGCATGTCTGTAATATTGTTTTTAAAATATCAATACAACACACAAATATAATTTGAATGTTTTAATATTGAATATATTTAATACTGTATTTTATAATTTAATATATATCCTTATGGTGATTGAGATTAATAGAGAAGCAGAACAGAAAATATAAAACGAATAAGTGCTATACACATAAAAAAGAATAATGATAACAGAAGTTTGATAAAGCTGCAAATGATCATTTTAACAATTCTTCATTTGTAAGGATTTTTTGTCATGCCCTGAGGCTCCAAACAATATTTTACTTCTCCTGGGATGGGATAATGTGTGATCATTCAGATACAATTATTCAAATATTGTGTAACGGAGGCGTTCTTTCCGGACCCTATGCAGACAACACAATCCAGGGATGAATGAGGAAACCACGGGTAGAAAAAGCATGCAGGAGGCAGGAATGAAAACAGGGGGTGTGTCCATGGTGCGCAGGTGTTCTGGGGGGTGAATCCAAGGCAAACAGTCCAAAAGGGAGTCAAAAGGGAAATCCAAGATGAGGCAAATGTCCAGAGCCAGGTGGTCCATTCAAGACGAAGACAAACGAGATTAAAAACAGGAGCGGGATCCGGTGGAGGGTCGGGGGGACCGGGACCGGGCGCTACAGGTCCCGGACTCGCCTAGTACAGGAACCAATGCAGAGCCCGGAACAGTGTGAGCATCTGGCTTATAAGGTGGGCTAATTAGGAGGCTGGAACAGGGGGCAGGTGCACAAAATCAACTCAGAAGTGAAAGAGCCAGAGCGCCCTTAAGGTGGGGGGACTACAATCGTGACATATTGTCCTTCTGTTGAATAGATGATGGTATCAAGCATCACAAAACTGACCAAAACCAAGATATTTGAATTGAAAGAAAATTGTATGAATGGTAGACAGCTATCGCTATTGTTCTTTGATGAGCAAGGCCTGCTGTTACAGAAAAGAATGGTTTAATATAGAAGAACAGCTATTTAATTTAATTCATTTTTCCTTCTTTTTACTACAGGAAGAGAAAGCTAGAAAAGAGGAAGAGGAACATCGTAAAAAGCATGTGGATGATGCTAAAAAGAAAAAAGCTCTGTCGAATATGTCCTTCCAGTATGGAAGCTACCTTCAGAAGGTAAACAGAAATATTGGAATAATTCAGTTTAGTCAGCTAAAAGATAGGGCAGTGTAACATACAAAATAAACTAATCTTTTAAAATTCTCATTAAATTAATAAATTCTATGTAGAATTGTTTAAATGTATGCATCTTGGGATGCACCTTGATTTTAAATGATTGTAGAATGCAGACTGATGTTGTCTTAAAACATAACTTCAAAGAACAGAATTGACCTCAATTTGTAATAATCAAAGTCAAAATTAACCCCATATTTTTTTTCTTGTAAAATTATTGAAATATAATTTATTTTTAGACTGAGAGCCGAAGAGGTGCTAAGAAGCAAACTGAAAGAGAAAAGAAGAAGAAGATTCTGGCTGAAAGACGCAAAGCACTTAATATTGATCATCTGAATGAAGACAAACTGAAGTATGTTGTTAGTCTTAAACGCTAAAAATATA